CCCTCCCCTGTATCTCTCCAAATATACACAAGCCTGCTGTTTTTGAGAAAACTGCATATTGGATGCAACTGATCGTTCAGTTACCTCTGATGTTAGAGTTCTCTGCAGCAGGAATTTATCTCTCAAATTAAAACTTTAAATCTTATAGTTGTGATGGCCAAATCCATGCTTGTACTTCATGCATTGGCCTGTAAAGTCTTCAGACAATTTTTTTAAATTCATAATTCTTCAAATTGATGCAGTAGCAAACATTGCTTTTCATCACATAAGTTTGAGAATTTTTTTATGAATTGTTAATAGAGGAGCTGGTCAAGAGGTGGGAAGATCATGCATCATTGTGGAATTCAAAGGAAGGAAAATCATGGTATGATTTTATAAATTGTAAATGTGTACAACAGGCTTCAGGATCGCTAGTTGACTTTAGTTTTTGTTGTCAGTAAATATCATTGATTGGCTAGCAGAAATTAAACAATTGTTACAATTTTATATAATATTTTTTAGATTGATTTCTAAAGCATCTGTGCAAGAAAATTCTTGCAAACTGACTCTGATGCACATTTGTTAATGATGTATATGTTGATTAAAAATATGGCTTGCAAACTTACTTCTAAGTGTAGGTTAATGGTGGCAATGTGATCCGATTAAGAAGCTTTGTTTTATATTAGATTATAGTTTGTGTTATGTGTCTATCTGGTCTGACATTTACAACATGCTAAACTCGACTTTGAGAATTGATTTTGAGGGCCTTTTGATTCGCCTTCACCTGAATTTTATCTTATTCAGTTGGATTGTGGAATCCACCCTGGACTTGAGGGAATGGATGCACTTCCGTACATTGATTTGATTGACCCTGCGGAGATAGATCTTCTCCTTATTAGTCAGTAAGTATTACTGCTTTCTATTTTAGAACTAAGAAATTACAACATGGCTTCAAAACGAGATTTCGTTTGAACCTTGATTTCATTGACGCAATCGCTGTATTTAGTTGAGTTACTCTTGATGATGAATAAAAAGTTGTTGCATTGACTGAGATGGGAATACTGTATATAATCAGATTGTTAAACAGATCATTGACATTTGGACTTGTGAGAGCTAGTTTTGTTAAGATTTTGCTATAACCAAAATGCTGTTCTCCTTTTCACACATTTTAAACAAAAGGCTTATATTATTGTTTGTAGGAACACAGGGACAGAAATAACCCATCTGTCTCTTGAAGCTATTCTCCTATTCAGTTATATCATTGCTGATCTGTACCTCAACTCCATTGCTTGTCTTTATTCCATGTACTTTGGTACCTTTCCTATGCAACATTTATCCATTTTCCGATCTAAATTGACTGACATACACAATTTTTTGTGGGGAGCAGGTTCCTATTTTCTACTACCCTCAGGACCTAGGTCATCGGTAAGATTTGAGAGTCTATTATTCAGGATGAGATTGCGGAGTACTTGGAAGTGCATGGTAAAATGGGGCTGAGTCATCATGGGTTCGTCAATAGGAGGTCATGCTTGAGAATTTTGTTGAAGAGGTAACAATAAAATCAGACAAAGGAGAGCCAGTGGATGTGATCTATTTAGCCAGAAAGCCTTTGACATGGTGCTGAATGGGGGGCTGCTAGATAATTTAAGAGCCCGTGGTGTTAGGGGCAAGGTTCTGGAATGGATGGAGGATTGGCTGACTAGCAGAAGGCGGAGTAGTGGGGTTTAAGAGGTCTTGTTTTAGGATGGCAGCTGGTGACACGTGGAGTTTGCAGGGGTTAGCGTTGTGACTGCACATTATTCATGTTATACATTAACAATGTGGACAAAGGAACTGAGGGCATTTTTGCTAAGTTTGCAGATGGCACACAAGTGGAGGGATAGGTAGTGTTGAGGAAGTGGTGAGGCTGCAGAAGGATTTGGGCTGGCTAGGAGAGTGGGCAAAGAAGTGGTACATGGAATACAGTATGGGAATATGTGAGGTTTGCACTTTCGTAGGAAGAATAGAGATGCAGTCTGTTTTCTAAACAGAAAGCCATTAGAAATCTGAAGCACAAAGGGATTTGGGAGTCCTAGTTCAGATTTATCTTAAGGTTGATATGCAGGTTCAGTTGGCAGTTAGAAAGGCAGGTGTAATTTTAGCATTCTCAGAATACTACAGCAGAAATGTACTGCTGAAGCTGTATAAAGGCTCTGGTCAGATGGCATTTGGAATATTGTGAGCAGTTTTAGGCTCCATATGTAAGGAAAGGTGTACTGGCATTGGAGGAGGTCCAGAGGCAGTTTACAAAAATGATCCTGGTGGTGTCGAGCTTGTCATGAGGAGGGGTTGAGGATTCTGGGTTTGTACTCGATGGAGTTTAGAAGGGTGAGCAGGGATCTCACTGAAACCTACAGAGAGACCTGGCTAGACTGGACAGGGAGAAGACTTTCTTGTTAGTGGGAGAGACTAGGACCTGAGGGCACAGCCTCAGAATGAAGGGCAGCCCTTTAGAACTGAGATGAGGAGGAACTTCTTCAACCAAAAGTTGGTTAATCTGTGGAATTCATTGTCGCAGGGGCCTATAAAGCCCAAGTCATGGACTGTATTTAAGACAGAGATAGACAGGTTCTTGATGGGTATGGGGATCAAGGGTTACGGGGAGAAGCCAGAAGAATGGAGCTGAGAAACATATCGGCCATGATCAAACGGTGGAGTAGTCTTGGTGGGCTAAATGGCCTAATTCTGCTCTTATATCTTATGATCTTACCTAAATGGCAAGTTTAAGATTATGCCCTATTGTTGTACATTTTCCCAATACTGGTTTCTCTGCATTTACACAAATGATTTACATAAAACATAAAACAAAACATTGATTATATCAATCCTCGCTCTTCTAAACTCTGAAAATTAAAGCTATGTTAATGTATCTGATCATTATAATTTAAGATTTAAACCGTGATCCCATTCTGGTGAGTCTGCACTGTATTACCTCTACGGTCAATAACGTCCTTATTGAGGTTTAGTTTTCAAAAGTGAATAATATATGCCACATAGTCTGTGACCACTGTGTCATCTTTTCACCTTAGTGTGCAAACCCCTTGAGATCACGGCAATTGGCCTTGTTGATTTCTTTTTGTGCCTGGATACTAACCTTTAGAAATTTGAGAGCATCTAGATCACGCACTCCTTAGCAATTCCTAGTCTCTTGTATTTTCCAAAATTGTGTGTCAGGTCCAACTAGATCATCTGTCACTTCCCAAACTGAATTTGACAGTTTTATCTGCTACCTTACACTGTGTCCCTTTTGTAGCTTCCTTCTGTCGTCCACACAAATTAACGTGACCTTTAATTTCATTTCACCATCAAATTTAGTTGCAGTGGGCCTGTTAGCAGCATTGTGTGGTGAAAACTGCTCCACTGTGTTCCTTCAGGCTAAACATTGACCTGTTTCGGGCAGGGATGGTGATCACACTATACAAGATGGAGACTCTATACTATAAGTCAGAATCAGTGTGCTATCCTTTCAATTGCCTAAAAGGGTCAAGTTATTTTCCAGATCTTCCCCACAACTGGCCTCAGCTTTTGAGCTACTTGTCTGTGTAGCTGCAGATATGTGCTCAAAAAATTTCAGCGGTATGGGTGGGACAGGCTAGGTACACCAATTTATCTTTTCTTGTCTAGTATTTTTGTCCATTCTGTTTGCACTTTAAACTGTGTTGATCTGAGAACGCCATCCCTCTAAAAGTATTTTAGTATATTTTTGGAAATATTAATGATATGAATAATGTAAAGTCAGATGTACCTTTGTTAATTGACTCATGATTTGCTGCAATATTTTATGCAAGCAGAAGCATGAGGCCGCCTTTGTATATGTATAATTTTTCTGTTTAATTTGATATTTAACAGTTTCCATTTAGATCACTGTGGTGCACTTCCATGGTTCCTACAAAAGACTAGTTTTAAAGGCAGAACTTTTATGACTCATGCAACAAAAGCTATATACCGCTGGCTGCTATCTGATTATGTCAAGGTCAGGTGAGTGGAAGCTTCTGACTTTTGTATTTAATATTCTCTACTCTATCCTTTTTAGTATTGAATTGTCAGCAGTCGTTGCTGGCAGTTTGCCAATAATTCCTGAAATAAGGACTACTTTACAGAATCCTCCTGTACCGTATAACATACTGAGAATTAACGAATAGATGATGCGCCGGCCATCTTCTTTCTCCTTTCTTTCCAGTTATATTTCTTGCCTTCCAGAGCATCCCATGTCTCTTGACATTTTAGAGGGAAGAGGATATTTTTGAATTTGAATACCAGATTCTTAGAAGTCTCATCCTTTTAACTTGGTCACATTAGCGCCTTTTGAAGCGTGTATTTAGGTCTTGATGCATGGACAAGTTTGAGTAAGACTGCCGCTCCAAGGGCATTGCTGATGACTGTTGGAAGTATTTTGAACATCAGGGGCATGAAAAACCAAGTTCCATCCTCAACTGATGTCTATAATTCAATTTTTCATATTGGATGCTGTATTACCCTAAATGCTGATCAACTTAACTAGGCACCAATAGCTCTCTGACCTAGAACATCTTGAGAAATATAATTCACTGCAAAGTGATGTATTCAAGATTGAATTCAAGAAATACACTTTGCAGGGTTTCATCTTAAATTTTTGAGACCTCTTAATATTTTGATAGACTCATTGATTCTTAATATATTTTACTTTTGCATTAAGTAATATCTCAGCAGATGATATGCTGTACACTGAATCAGACCTGGAGGAAAGTATGGACAAGATTGAGACCATCAACTTTCATGAAGTGAAGGAAGTGGCAGGTATCAAGTTTTGGTGTTATCATGCAGGTCACGTCCTGGGAGCTGCCATGTTTATGATTGAAATAGCTGGGGTGAAGGTACGTATGAAAACAATTTGAAAGTGATAACATGTCAAAAATATGCTGGATATATCAACGTCTGAAAGAAAAAATAAGGCCTAACATTTCTGTTATGATCCTGTTGATAGAACCTCAGTCTTCTGTCCTGGGTTTTTGTAATACTAGAGATTTTTTTATGGTTTTGCACATGGATTATCAAGAATAAGAGCTGACTTCAGCCAAGCTGAATTAGTTTGGGGGAGACTATAATTGGGCCAAAGTATAGAAATATGATTCAACGAGGACAAGAGAGGGATTTGAAATAGTTCCTGTGTGTGGGTTGGGGCTGTATGGCAAATTAGAGTCATAAAGAGTTATGGAAGCTGACCCTTTGGTCCAACTCATCCATGCTGACCAGATATCCTAAATAAATCCAGTTCCATTTGCCAGCATTTGGCCCACATCCATCTAAACCCTTCCTATTCATATATCCATCCAGATGCCATTTAAATGTTGTAATTTTACCAGCAAGCATACCAAACGCCTCCTTCACTATCATGTCTACCTGCGACTCTACTTTCAAGGAACTATGAACCTGTACTCCAAAATTTCTTTGTTCAGTAACACTCCTCAGGACCTTACCATTCAGTGTATAAGTCCTGTCCTCATTTGCCTTTGCAAAATAAAGCACCTCACATTTATCTAAATTAAATTCCATTTGCCACTCCTTGGCCCATTGGCCTATCTGATCGAGGTCCCGTTGTTGTGAGATAAGGCGTTATGGCACTACCAAAATTATGAAATTCTTGGCATGAAATGTACCTGTCTAAGCATCGCTGTAGGTGAAACAGGAATTGGAGAACAGGGCCCAAAATACACTTTGGCGGCAGGTGTATTCTCCCTCAAAATACCTTGGAAAATTCATTCTTACTGAGATGACCAATCAGAAAGAGTTGGCCATGTGTGTGAAAGAGAAACAATCTCTGAAGAGCTGCATCTCCAATCACAGGCTACTTCTCCACTTTGGTTGGTTGGCATGGGCTGAGTCTGAACCTTGTGGGTGGTTTTCAAGGGGGTGAAGAAGGGGGCCGCAAGGAAAAAAGATGAAGGGTCTCAAAGAGGGGAGAGCAGTGGGGAGAACTGGGGTGTTTGGAGGTTGCAAATGCAAAGTGGTGGGAGAAGAAAGCTGCAAAGTAGAAACTGTAGTTTTAAACCTGACAAAAAAAGAATATGCAGCTAACTGGGAGCTAGGAACTTGAAATCACCAAGGCAATGTATTCCTTCAAAATAAATGTGTCATCACTAGTTTAAGGCTGTTTTTGTTCAGAGGCTTCTATATAAGCGAAAGAGCAGTGGATGTTATTGTAATGACCGCTGAATCAGTTGTTAATTTCAAATCTGAGAATGACATCAAAAGCAGAATAAAAGGTAGTAAAACTATCTAGTTAAAATGTTTCAGCTTTGTCCAGATGTGATGAAAGTATACCTAGTTATGATCCCACCAGGCTACAGAAAGTATTTTTAGGGTGATGACTTTGTGTTGGAATGTGTTTATTTTGAAAAAAAAGTTTGTTGTTAACTTAAGACTGTTATCTTGTAATAATTTAATTATTTTATTGTCTAGCAAGTTGTGGCTTTAAGTTTGATGGAGGATCGCGAATTGAGTATATTGATAAATTTTTCAAATTTTGCCTCTACGTGCAAGTCCATATGCCCCGTATGTTAACACACATATAGAAGATATTTTTACTGCATGACTGTAGCATCTAATAAATGAGTCAGTGAGAATTGAGAAAGAGTCCTTGAAAACCAAAACATAGTCCAAAAATTTTCAAAAGGTAGTCCTCAAGAAGAGCTCTGAGGGAGTCGGGGGGAAGGGAGAATAATTGCCCCCTGCCAAACAATTAACAGAGTATTTTTCTAATAAGATGTTTCTTGGGGCTAGGTTCACATGCAAGTTTTCCATGTGCAACAAAGTACAATATTGTGACTCACCTACAATTTTACTATTTTAACATGTAATAGATTCAATTAATAGTAAATGTATTATTAAAATGTCTACAAAAATCATTAAATGTCTGTTGTTTCAAACTTTTACCACTAATTGCACCCATGCAGATTTTGTACACTGGTGATTTTTCACGACAAGAGGATCGACACTTAATGGCAGCAGAGATCCCCAGTGTCAGACCTGATATTCTTATAATAGTAAGTAAATTTTCATTCTTCAGGAAGTTTGTCATGTCTTTAACAGTGAGTGTACATATGTGTGTGAGATGGATGATACAATAGATAATTATCTCCATGTTCTTAACCAAACCTAGCAAAAGGTGCACGAATCAAAATATAGTTTCAGGTTTTTCATCTAATTTCTGGTCTACTGAAGTGTGTATGTGGATGCTTACGTAGAAATTGCTCCTTTACTTAAATTGTGCTGTTAAGGTTTTTCCCTGGTACTGTCCATATTGTCCCAGTGCTACTTGAACAATTCTGTTAGCCTTCACTCTATCTTCGCCTGGAAGAACAGTCATTCTACAATATTTTTAAGGTTCAAGCCTTCAGTATATTTTGGCTGACTTGACCATAAAATGTTGGGCCAAAATTGCTGGACCCAGGCATCTTTCTGTGTGTTTGATAAGTTAGACTTTTACATTCATCTTTCAACTTCAAAATGTTTTGCTAGAAGTGCAATACTGGATTTAATACCTGGGTGAACTGCAGGCCTGACAGTGTATCTCCCGAAGCAAAGGAATTTATAGAGTAAGAAAGAGGGTGAACGAGAGTCAAATCAGGTGCACAAAGAAACAACAGGAAATGAAGATTTAAGGCAGAATTAAGGCATAAATGAAAAGTGAGAAAGTATGTTAAATTCATTTAAAATCTCTAATGACAATTTATCATTTGGGTATAAGATACAGCAGTTTAAATAGTTCCCTTTCTGATCTGGACTAATTGATTAACAGCACATTAATATTCATCATGGAAAGGTTAGTTATGAGCCTTAACACACTCCAAAAATTTTAATGGTGAATATACAAACCCAATATGTTCTTAAAATAATGAAGTTAAGTTGTCATTTACATGAGGCAAGTGGAGAACTAGAATCGACCAGCATATTCTGCAGATTCATGATTTGTGCTATGTCCCTTAATCTACTGAACTTGATAACTATCCTGTGCATGAAGAACAATGTATTTCATTAAACACCATTATTTTTGGATTTGGCCCATTATGTTGCATTGATTTATGGTGAATTGTCTTTGTAAGCATGCTTCGCGCTAAAAGCGAGCATTCTGTGCAAGGGACAATATCGTAACATTCAGGGCTATAAAGATTCTCAAGAGTAGTTACTTGGCAACATTGAATTCTGCGTAGCAGTAGGGGCAAGGTTTACTGCAAAGTTTTTGATAGGTTTCTCATGATGGTGGTCGCTGAAAAGCATTTCTGAGGTCATCTATAGTTGGGGAAAGTGACAGACAGGGGGCAACCTCCATTTTAGGAGTACAACAGTTAGGCATTATGCAGGGAAGGTGACTGAAGTGAGCAATCCAGAGCGATTTGAGGGCTCTGTGCTCTAAGAATGAACTTAAGGTGAGAATTATTGAGCAGTCACAATTTGGGAGTTAGGACTCCAAAGAAGTCTTGGGGAGCTGTGATAGTGGGAAGATCATTAGCTGTGTTGGGGGTGTCTAGGAGGGGCTAAAGCAGCCTGTAAGCATTAGCAGTTTAGCAGCTGAGAGGGTGAGGTTTGAAAAACCACAATCAGTATTTGCTTGTTGCAACTGAACAAGATTTGAAGTTCAGGAAATTCCAGGGCCAGTTTTTAGCTTGATGAAGATATGGGAGCAACCTCCAATAGTTCAATTGCAGAAACTATCATAGCTGCTGAATTTGACTTCAAGTTTTTAACATGTTCACTTCCTGAAGTGAATCTTTGAGCAAGTCATGTCTGCAGTGATAGTAGAAACTGATCTAATTTTCATCTTGTGTAGCTCGTGTCCTTAATTACTTAAATCTTTATATTTTAGCTAACAGCTATCTTTGTTTTTACATTTAGCAATCATTGTGTAATAATTTAACCTGTTACCTTAAAGCATGAAACTGTGTTGCTTGTCATATTTAAATTGAAACACTTGATAATTAAAAGGGGACTTTGTATGAGCTTATAGGAGCTCTTAACTAATGGACCACTCGGAACACATCTGGGATGTGGTCATGACATAAGAATAAAGTGATTCAAATTTTTACTTATATATTTTACATATATATACCTAGGTAGATAGTGAAATTTGAATTCACTAAAATTCTGGTATTAAAAGCTAGCCCAATGATGGCTAAAAACGGTTATTAATTGTGTTATAAAGGTCTTGTTCTTTTCATTTTACTTCCTACAGTAATTCTGATCTTTTTCATGCAGGAATCCACATATGGTACCCATATCCATGAGAAACGTGAGGAGCGTGAAGCTCGATTCTGCAACACTGTACATGACATTGTAAATCGAGGAGGACGCTGTCTCATTCCTGTCTTTGCTCTAGGCCGTGCTCAAGAGCTGCTACTGATTTTAGGTGCATGTTGCAAATCTGATTTATCTCCATCCCTTTTCTAATTAAACTTGAGCAAGTGTGTGGGGACATTTCGGGATGAAGCTGCAAACATTTGTACTCGAGGATAGATTGTCTTATGAAACAAATGTTGATAGCTATTGAGAGTACAGAAATTTGAGAAACCTTACTAGAAATCTAAGGTTTTGGCGTAGATCTGTAGCTCGGGTTGTGGGTGTTGAGGTTGGTTGGCTCGCCGAGCTGGTTTGTTGTTCCGCAGACGTTTCGTTACCGTGCTTGGTAACGTCCTCAGTGCAGCCTCTGATGAAGCGTCGGTGTGTTTTCCCGCCTGGTTTTTAAACTCTGGGGTCCGTTGCGATGGATTGCCTCACTTCTGGGTTTCCTCCGTAGTGGAATGTATATGGGGTCGAGTTCAATGTGTTTATTAATAGCATGCTTCGTGGATTGCCATACTTCCAGGAATTCTCGTGCTTGTCTCTGCCTAGCCTGTCCCAGGGTCTTGGTGTTGTCCCAGTCGAAGTCGTGGTTCTCCTTGTCCATGTGGATTGAGATGAGTGAGTATTGGTCATGTCTTTTTGTAGCCAGTTGGTGTTCATGTACTCTTGTAGTTTCCTTCCTGTTTGTCCGATGTAGTGTTTCTCTCAGTCTCTGCAGGGGATCTTGTAGATGACATTGGTCCTGTCCATGGCGGGGAGTGGATCTTTAGTTCGGGTGAGCACTTGGGGTACGGTTGATGTGGGCTTGTGTGCCACTCTGATGCCCAGCGGTCATAGAAGTCTTGTGGTGAGTTCTGACGTGTTCCTGATATAGGGTGGTGTGATGAATGTGTCAGGGCGTGTAGAATCTTTCTGATGCTGTTCCTGTAGGCATCTCCTGATCCAGTTCTTTGGATATCCATTATCCTTGAACACTTGGAAGAGGTATTCCTCCTCCTCTTGGCGTAGTTCCGTGTTGCTGCAGTGTGTTGTTGCCCTTTTAAAAGTGTTTGCACGCAGCTTCGTTTGTGTGTGCTGGGATGGTTACTATTGAAGTTCAATACCTGGTCTGTGTGTGTGGCTTTTCGGTGTACTTTCATTTGCAGTTCCCCATTTGTCTTGCGCTCTACCATGACGTCCAGGAATGGGAGTTGTTTGTTCTTCTCC